TGCCTATCACAATAGCGCCCGTCTCCAGGGGATACGGGTATTGACTTTTTAATTCAACTGATCGTCCGGAATGCGTCTGTTGGGATGCTACCTCGAGTGAAAGGGTCACTGGTCGGAACAATAGAGGTTGGTATTTGAACAATGAACGTTGGTGGTTGGACAATAGAAGTTTGTAATTGAACAATAGAGGCTAGTATTTGAACAATAGAAATTGATGTTTGAACAACAGAGGTTGGTATTTTAACAAAAAACGTTGTAACTTGAACAATAGAGGTTGGCGTCTGAACAATAGATTCTGCTCTTTTAATATCAGAGGTTGGTATCTGGATAACAGAGGTGGTGATTGAACAGTTAAAGTTGGTATTTAAACACTAGAAGTTTGTGTTTGAACAATGGACGCTAGTGTTTGAACAATAGACATTGGTATTTGAACAAAAGAGGTTGTTTTCTTTAAACAAGAAGTTTTTGTATTTGAACAATAGAAGTTGTTTTTATTTAACAATAGATTTTGGTATTTGAACAACCGAGGTTATTTTCTTTTAACAATAGATTTTGGTATTTTCGAACAACAGAGGTTGGTGTTTAAGCGATATAGGTTGACACACGCTCATATGACCTTATGTAGTTGCTAGCTCCGTAAAACGTCTACTAAAAACAAGAGGTTGACACTTTAAAAAATAGAGGTTGGTATTTGAACAACAGAATTTGATTTTTGAACTATAGAGGTTGGGTTTTTAATAATAAAAGTTAAAAAAGAACCCAAACAATAGAATTTGGTGTCTGAACAATCGAGGTTGGTATTTGATCAGCAGACGATTGAAGCATCTCAACAGGGTGACCACGTGATGTTATGTCGTCGCCAATGAAAAAGTAGTAAACAATGAACACCAGACACGTGTGTTATTGATTTATACAAGTAGACACTGCTCTCATCAGACAATAGTGTTTGTGCTGTAATCTTTAACTTTTGTGTCTTGTTACGATGGTGTATGTAGAATTTAGGTCTTGGTAAACCACAAAATGCCCGTGCAGTGAGTACAAGGAAATCAAGGACACAACTTTTGAAATTTAAATTGCAAACTGTTACATTCGAAAGGGGTACTATATTTTAATGGAAAAGGTAGACAGCGTCATACATCTCTAAGAATTAAATAGATCAAAAGAAGATCTGTAGTAAAATTTGAATACGTAATAGCGAAAGATGAAAAAGGCAAAGGAACAGAAGGAAACAAAAAGACAATTCTGACAAATTCGAGTCAAGCGCAGTCTGACAGAGACAACGAACAACCGATCAGAGCGCTGAAACCCGCTGTGATTGTCAGAGCAAGGTCTCGATGTGGCGTGTGGCGTCTGGCGTGTGGCGTGTTGGAAGACGATCCTACAAACTTCGAATTGATCCAGCCGGGGTATGAAATTGTGAGGAGTCTCAAGAACTGAATCATTATCTGACTCTTGGGAAGGCACCCGACCAAAGAAAAGATGCTGGGTGTGCGAAAATGAAACCGCGAAAAGATAACTTGAGTTCAACTTTATTCTCAGAGAAGGGGAATCAAACATACTTTATCGGCGTCTGTGGTGTAGATGTTAGGCGCTTCGTTGTTACATGCAGGAGACCAGAATTCAATTCCCGAGTGGAAGGAATTTTTAATCGAGTATCTCGGTCTTTCTGCTGGGATGTTGTACCCTCTCTGCTCGGGTTGGCGCCTCCTGAATGATCTAAATTATGTCAAAGGAGGCTTAAAAACACCTACGCAATGCAGAACTCCAGTAATTCGAAGAATCTTCCAAGAATATTATTGCATTGGTCTAACTATATCTTTTGGAATTCATAATTTTCTTGCGGTGTATCTTCACCAGCTCTATAACTAAAATAAATGTTTGTGTGTGTGTGTGTGTGTGTGTGTGCGCGTGTATGTGTGTGTGTGTATAATATATATGTATGTGTGTGTGTGTGTGTGTGTGTGTGTGTGTGTGTGTGTGTGTGTGTGTGTGTGTGTGTGTGTGTGTATGATACACACACAATGTGTTCCCCTCCCCTCCTATATAAACTCACAACTATCAAACTAACAAAAATAAAAAAGAGGGGTCAGTGGAGAGCGATAGGGAGAGAAAGTGAGGAAGAAAGAGAAGAGGGGCGGTGCGGTGCGCAATGGTGGGAGTTTTGAGGAAGAGGACATTAAGAGAACGGTGTGGGGTTTGGGGAAGGGGGTTGCGTGGGTGGGGGGGGGGAGGGATGCGACTGACCTTATGGTGCCCCCAACAGGTCCTAGTACTTAAAGGCCAGCTTTTTTCTCACCAGCATTACCATAAAATTGAGACTTCCTCGTTGCCAAAGTTGGAGGATTTCGACAAGGGAATTATTATACTACATTATTTATCGAATTGCAGTTTAAAGGTTGGTGAGTGATTGCTGTTGCTGTTGCTGTTGATCGTACTATTTTGTGTTTGTTGTAGTCACTTTGCTGTTGATGTCTTTCTTGTTGTTATTGTTGCTGTTGTTGCTGTTGTTGTTGTTGTTGTTGCTGCTCTTGCTGTCGTTGTTGCTGCTGTTTTTATTGAGCATGCTATTGTGTTTGTATTAGTCGCTTTCCTGTTGATATGGTTGTTGCTGCTGCTGCTGCTGATGCTGTTTTTGTAGTTGTTGTTGTTTTTGTTGTTGCTATTGCTGTTGTCGTTGTTTTTAGTAATGTTACTATCGTCTTTGTAGCTGCAACGGTGTCTGTTAGGCTATTGTTTGAAGCGACAAGGGTCATGTTGAGGGCTCTTGTGGCCCAGAGGTTAAAGTGTTCGCCTTTCATTCAATAGGTCCCGAGTTCGAATCTGGGTAGTGACCGAAAATGTTCTTCTCTCAAATGTTCTCCTTTCACATCCTTTCCAGATCTCTGACTATGTTCTGTCGTCTGCTTTTGCCTCCACTTTCTGCCCCCATCCCCTCACCTCGATTGCCCCCTCCTCTGGGCTCCTGACTCTTTCAGCAGCCTTTCTACTGCTTCACCTTGGCTCCATCTTACTGCTGTCTTTCGGCCACACCCCTACTCTTAAGGTAGGAAAGAGTTGTGCTCGTTAAAGATCCATTGTTGGTTCAAAATCAATAAGAGTAGGCTTCGGACGCCACCTGGGCAATATTCCAAATTCCCTACCAACTGAAAATGTTTGATGTGTTCCGCCCGCTCACATAACAGTTGTGAGATAACCTTATGCAGTTTCGAGGGCCGTAAAACACTTACCAAAACGAACAAACAAGTGGTCATGTTGGCCAAATTCGCGATTTAAAATGAATGACCTGCTTGTTGTTGCTTCTCTCCTTTTTCCTGCAGTTCAGGGGTAAAGGTTTTCCTTTTTTTAATAAAAAAATAATAAAGCAGCATTTTTAAAATAAAACTTTATATTCCATATGATTTATTGAAACTAAAATAAACTAAATGTTGTCTACTCATGTAGTATTCTGTTCGAAATGGTCATATCTTATCAAGAGGCACTTCTTCACAGAAAAAAAACCTGACTGCAACCAAAAATGAACGTACTTACAGCGTAGTCTCACTTTCTAATAGTCAGTAAATATACATCATTAACATTGTCTCATTGCCTAGCCTGTACCCGTGGCACTGTCATTTTGGTCTGATATTGTGACCGTACGTCTTGATTGTCGTTTACAACAGAATATGGTGGGGGGGGGGGGTCGTTAATACTCATTCAAGTCTGGGTCATGGGAAATGAATACTGTAATTCAGCTAGAATTTCACATTAATTAACGGTAAATACAAAGAGAATACATAACGTTTTGATTATAGTAGGTGGCTGGTTGGCGGGTGCTCTGGTGTCGCAATTGCTTCTTCGTTCCTATCAAACACCTACCGTCCTTATCTCCCCTTCTTTGTTATATTTGTTACTCTCTTGTAACACCTCTAATCTTCTGGGGCTCATATGA